CTACAGAAGTAGATTGCCCAATCTTTCTTCTAAGGAGTGGCTGAGTAGGTTTGAACCACCAGCCTTCTGGTTAGGAGTCAAAGGCCTTAGGCATTACGCCACCAGAGCTACCATATTTACATATATGTATGCATGTACATGTAGTGTGTGTGCCTACATTTAGAGCAGCAGGGACCCACAGAAAGCATGGAAGCTCAGAAATTAGGCTGTCCAGCTCACTACCTGAATTACCTAAGCTCATCTAAGTCACTTAAGTTCCCTGCAGGAATATCACTATCTACCTAGCAGTACCATCAAGCAAATAAAATGTAATAAAATAAGGATTGACAAAGTGCCTGGCAGGTATGTAGTGTTGTTTTCTCTCCTTCCTCTTTCCCTTCCCCCTTCCACTCTATCCAAATTCTCTCTAAGCTTCAAGGCCAGCTCCTGTCCCACCTCCTCCTGAGGTCTTCCTGCTGCTGGTGACCTCCTGGGCCTCAGGGGCACTCACCAACTCAGATGGCACTGCCCCATCTCTCTCTCAGCAAACTCTGGGCTTTTCCCAAAGAGGCTGCACTCTCCCAAGCCTCTAAGTCTTTTAACCTAGTCTCTCTGCCTCACAGAACTTCTACTCTTGCTTCAAGACCAAGCTCAAATGTCACCTCCTCCATAAAACCTTCTCTGGCTGCCCTAAGCAGTTAGTTGCTCCAGCCTCTGAGTCTCATATAATGTGAATGAAAGCTTTTCACCCTGTATTGTCCTCTTTCCCACTGGACTAGGAAGGCCCCCAGGGCTCTGTGGGCACCTTACTAAGGTGGTATGAGGAAAGAAAGGGAACGGGTGGGGCAGGGGCAAAGTCCAGATGACTGAGGCTCCTGGGCCTCCTCTGTACAGTAACCTGTAAAGAGGGGTCATTAATGCCTCCTCTGGCCCAGTCCTGTGCTAGAGGATCTCAGCCCTTCTGCTGCCAAATGTCAGGCACCTACTCTTACACGAAGGAGGGGTGGTGGGAGAGAGTGCAGAGTCCTGTTGAAGAAGGAGTGAATCCCCTGAAGTCAGGCTTTTTGTAGAGAGAGATCAAGGGCTGAGTTGGAAATGAACCAACTCTGTGGGCTCTGAGTTTAAGGCAAGCTGGGGATTCCAGAAAGAGCAAACACTTTCAAACAACGTGCCCCTAGTAAACCAGATGCACAAAGGGTTAGAAAGAAGTTTTTGTTGTGATTGTTGTCAATTTTGCCAGCCTGTTTATATAGGAATAGACAGATCTCATCACACACCAGAAACAACATCAGAAACCTTCCCTTTAAAACAAAGAGAAAAATAAGGATGCTGTCAATCACCAGCATCCCTGAATATGGGCTTGGAAGTTCTCACCAATGAAATAGAAGCTATAAACACTGAAAACAGACAAAATAATTACATGTGCATATGAAATGACTGAAAATCTTTGAAACCAAGTAATCATCTGACAAACCAGGAACTAAAAGAACTCAGAAAAGTGGCTAATAAAAATAAACACGCAAAATTCAGTATTAGTCTTTTATGCCAATAATAAAATGCAGTTTTTAAAGGTGTTATTGCTAATAACAATTATGTAAAATATCTAGAAATAATTGTAATGGAAAATTTGTCTGACCAATATGAAGAAGAGTAGAAAAGTTCACAAAGATATTTTGGTAAGCAGATTTATATTAAAAGTGTTCATGGGTGAGTAGTCAAAATATTGAAATGTTGATTTTTTTTTTTTAAGAATTTAACTAGTAGATTATTTAATATATACCCATCCAAATCCCCCCCCCCTTTTTTTTTTTTTTTTTTTTTTTTTAGCTTGGTGAAATTGTTTTAAAGTTCAACTGGGGGAGTAAGCTAGCAAGATTCTCAAAGGAGAAGGTGAGTGATAACCAAGGCTATAAAGCTAAAGTAATTTAAAGAGTGGCAGTAGGAAATGAGGAGCAAAGAGAGTATGTAGCCCAGAAACAATGCAACAATTTAATAAATGCTATAGAAAGCTTAACAAATAAACTGTGGGAAGGAAGGATTAAACAACTGTTAGAATAACCATTTAACAATTTGGAGAAAACTAAAAAGATAGCTCAAAAGACTATCAATTAACCAAAAATAAAAATAAACTCTAACCAAAGATGGATGGAAAGAATTAGGCCAAGGGACTGATAGACCATGCTACCCGCAGCCTATATGACCATGAGACCAGAAGAACTAGATGGTGCCCGGCTACCAGTGTCAACCATTCAGTGGGCGATTGGTGCTGGAGTTACTGGAATAGAGTGGGAGAACAATGTGGAACAAAACTCACAATCATAAAAAAAAAGACCAGGTTTGCTGGTCTGATAGAGCCTGATAAGACCTCTGACACTATGGCCCCTAGTTACTCTTCAGGTCTGGAACTGAACTCACTACTGGGGCTTCCAGCCAAATAACAGACATGCATATGGGGTGAACATTTACAACATGTAGATACACTTCTTGCAGCAATCAATCTTGGGAGAACAGAAGGGCAGTGTTTGCACAGGGAGACAGCTCAGAGGGGCGGGAACGCATGGCAGGGAAGGTTACAGGAAAGACATCAAGGAGGAAGTGGGAAGAGAGCTATTACATTGTGGGGAATTGCAGTCAACGTCACAAGACAAAATGTGTATGGACATCTGTATGGAAAGTGAATCTGCTCTGTACACTTTCACCCAAATCACAATAAAATTTAATAATTAAAAAAATAAATTCTAGCTAGAACTGTAATTCAAATATTTTTTAATCAAGTCAAAAAATCAGAATTAAATATAATTAAACTTTGACTCAATCTCTTCAGTGAGGATGACTTTCTAAACTTAGAAGCCATAAAAGAAATGACAAACAGATCAATAAATCTGGCTGTATAAACAATATATAACATTTGGAAGGTTAAAAAATAAATAAAGATGCCAAGCAACAGTGTGAAAAAGGATCTGTAAATAGAATACAAAGAGTTATCATATTTGTTATTGAAAATGGTCACTATAATAAGGAAAAAATTAAGATCACCTAAGAGATAGATTACAGCTCTGGTAACATAGCGCCTAAGGCATCTGACTGCTAACCAGAAGATTGTTGGTTCAAACCCACCAACTGCTCTGCAGAAGGAAGATGGGCCAATCTACTTCCGTAAAGATTTACCACCTCGGAAACCCAAAGTGGGTCTCTATGAGTAAAATTCAACTCGGTGGCAGTGAGTTTGGTTCTTTTGGTTGAAGAGATAGATAAGGAGCTTTGGTGGTATAACA